CGCCCCCGACCGCCCACTCCGCGCGGGAGCGCCCGCCATATCGGCGGGGCGGGACCGGGAGAGACGCCGGCCGTGGCCAACGGGCCGCGGCCAGCGTCTCTCCCGGTCCCGCCCCACCGGATTGCATATCTAATCTGTGCATTCAACCTAAATAATTGCACCTTATAAAAGCAATGAGTAAACCACCCGCTTAAATACCAATGCAGCAGGTAAAGGTTTCAATCACTTCTTACCAAGAAGCAAAGAGATCGGCTTAAAAACTGAATGATCGCTGCAGCCATAAATACAAGGCATTTGCTTGCAGGTCGAGGCATTTGCTTGCAGGTTTATAAATTGTTTTTAAGGAGAACAAGTCTGGTATTTGCATGCAAAAGTGCTCCTGCTCTCCTAAATGCATGTTGTAGGCATTGCTCTTAGTTGTATTGATCGAGTAATTGCGAAGGCGATGTGCTAAGTGGCTACTTGTTTATGCAGCATGATTTGCAGTCACAGCTGCTTTGACTTGGCCTATAAATATACCTGTAACAGGACCCGTATTTTTGTTTGGCCTCCTGTCCTTAAAAGGTAGACCTAAACAAAGTCAGTTTGCCAGGTTAAGCCTTAATGCTGTTGTCTGCTTTTTCTTCCAGTAGCTCCATTTCTGATTTGGAATTAGTTCATCATTACTGAATGATGTAGAAGGAACTGTTTTGATTGCATTGGATAACAAAGCTGATAATGGTGTTTAATACAAAATGACTTCCTTTTTAGTCTAATTCTGCTAGCCTAATTTTTAAACCAAAGCTAAAAAATAGTGTTGTGTGATCAGTCCTGTGTATACACACCCTTTTTATTGAACCATCCTCACGTCTAAGACAGCGAGTTCAATGGCAGCCGAGGACATCCAACACAGCGTATGATCGGTACCATGTCTGTAATCAAATCCTCTGCTCGGATCCACGAATGCGTGCACCAAAAGACGGAGAGCAGCAAGGCTCGTAGATGATCGCATTCGCTGTCTGCAGCAGCAGGGGAGAGCGGGGCATGCAGTTGATTAATGGCTTTGTCCTATATAATAAGACACGGTGGAGCGAAGCCGGAGTGCCTCGATAAAAAGCCTGGAGATGTGATGCCTGCGAGTCCTCAGGACCATGATTCAGGATGGTAGGGGAGCAGCACTGCTGGGCACGGAGGAGAGGGCTTCGCTGGGGCTCTTGGTGCTGGCAGAGGGCAGCGTCTATGCTGCTGGCAGAAGGACAACATCTTTCCATGTTCAGTCATTTTGGGAAGCGAAGATCAGAGAAAGATCTTTCCAACCCCCTTCTAGCTTATCCCTATGGCATCTCATACCAGTCATTTAGCCGTGGTTTAGGAGGGAACTGGAACATGTTAGGGAGCCTTTAGAGGTGGGAGACCCAATCTGGCATTCCCCCAGTTCTGGCAAATGGCTTAGGGCTGGGAAGCACCGGCAGGCGATGGGGTTGCTCCAGGGCTCACCACCGCTGTCTCCAGTTCAACCATGGCAGAGAGGCATTTCCCTCCCATTCCTGGCCTTGGTCTCGGGCAGTGTTTGCTGCTGAGGAGGACAGGCAATCAATGGAGTTCTCCCTGAAGTGTCTGGGAAAGGAAGGAGGGTGAGATAAAGTGATTAGTCCTGAAACTTGTATGTTTTACTGTAATTGACATTGATTTAACTGGTGCTTTTTTTAAAGACAAAATTAAATGAAAAATGAACTAGCAATATCTTCCTTGCAGCTCTCTGTTATTGCTACTATCCCAAAATGCAGCAGTTTTGAGGCGGTGGGAACTGAACCAACACAGGTCCATTGCTGTGCCACCTTCCTTGGGCTCTGGAGGAGGGGAACAGGCGCCTGGGCCACGCACCCAGGGGAGCAGCGGGAGCAGAAGGCATTAGGCTTGTCCGCCCTAGTCTCATCATTCTCTCTGTTATCCAATTTATTGCAAGCCGCTCCTTGATTAAAATGAGCGTGGTGGTGGAGGAGGCAGATCCCATTCATGGCAACACCCGTGATCCACGTTTGAAGTGGTGTGCCGGCAGATTGGATCCTCCATTCTTCCCTCCAAGAAAAGCCTGACCTGCAGTCCTCTGAACCAGCCTGACAAGTCTTCCTCAAGCGGAAAACAACCCCCCTGGCTGGAGGTATTTAATTTTTCAGATCTTCAGTGCTGAAAAACCAAATCATTGTCCTGTCATGCCTGTAATATTGCCTCCCATGGTTACAGCACATACCAGGCTTCGTAGCCAGGCAGAGAATGGGCCTGCATTTCTCCCCACAGACTGTTATAAAAGCCAATTAGGCTGTTACTTAATTTTCCTGCTTTTTTCCTCCCTTTCGCACAAGGTGAAGCAGTTAAAAGTCTCCCCTAGCTACATTATGTAAATTGTCAAGTAAATTCTCCCTGAAATGTAATTCAGCGGGTTTGTTGTTAAAACTGTCGCCTGGCTCTAGCACATACACAAGCTGCATCCAGGGAAGGGTCACTCGTCGAAAGCACAATGTCTTATTAGATGTGCATAGATGGGGGAGAAGCTCCTCAGCTCCTCCTGTAGCGTTACTTTGCGCCAAGGCAGCAGCAGCAGCATGTGTGTAGGCGGGTGAAGGCGAGAGTAGGAGGGAAGCGGTCACGGTCCAGACTATCCTGCTAATATTTATTCGGGCTCTAACCATTTCCCAGCCCAGGCTCTGTCTTGACTGACAGCTTTGGGGACAAGCAGAGCATCACATAATGCCTACGCTGGCAGATACTGAGCAGTCAGCCAGGAAGCGGTGAGGTGCAGAAATCAAATGAACCCTGTTCAAATTCAAACCTCTGCTTAAGCAGCTTTTGTTAATAAAGCCCCTTGACATTACTACATACGGAAGAAAACACTGAAATAGTGGGATTTTTATTTTATATGCATTTGTATGCAATTAGTTTTCCTCTGCTCATTTTGTCATACCTAATGTATGTCCCCTCCTATGGGATGTTCCCGTTGAAAAGTATGGGAGCTCAGCATACAAGAATTTGGCTTGGACCTGTCATATGTAGTGGTACTGTGTGCCCCGGTCCCCAGAGAATGCAGAAAGGGGAACCAGCGTGAGCACTTTGGTGGGTAGGTTGTATCTGCGGCGAGCTCCATTTTCCCCACAGAAATCCTCACTGCTTTTGTAGGAGGTGATCGCAGGAACTCCACATCTTTCCTTGGCAGAGTCATCCCCCTCCTCTAAAAGACTTGATACAACTCCACAGCTAGTTTCTAACTGATCAGATGTGATGAAAGTCCCAGCTCCTGGTATATGGAGATACTGTTTCCACATAGAAACGCTATTGAAAGATATGAGGTAATGCTCCAGTGCTGAATTCCAACGATGGGAAGGGATTTCAGCAAAAATTATTAGTAGTAGAAGTGCCGAAACATCTAGGAAAAGGGTATTGCTGCTTTCCAGAGGCACAGAGAGACTGAATGCAGATCTGAACCTCCCTGAAGCTAACCCACAGATTCTGCTGAGCTTCATTTGTGGAGTAGCCTGATGTGATTTGGGTCAAAGACATCATCAGAAATAATGAACACACAACTTCTTGCCTTGTTTGCTTTATGGTTTAATATATCTTTTTGCTAATCATAAGCTATAGGATACGTAACTATTCTGACCTCTGTTTTTAGAAAAAAAATGAGTCATATTTGTGGACTAGCTTAAGCAGGAGCCTTCTGCTGGAGTCTAAGGGTGGAATTTGAACAGAACAGAACAGAACAGAACAGAATAGAATAGAATAGAATAGAATAGAATAGAACAGAACAGAATAGTTCCAGTTGGAAGAGCCCCACAGGTTTGATCCACTGTGACAAATGCCTTTAGTTGGATTAGACCAAACGCCCTCCATAGGTCCTGTCCAGCATAAATTATTCTAGGATTCTAAATGCTTTGAGAAATTTCTGGTAAAATGAGTGAAGATATGAATTCAGTTAAAACGGATATTTTGTAATCCCTCCTTGATAGAAAAATCTACCCTGCACTCGGGCCACCTGTCCAGCTAAATTTCATCCACTTTGAAACACGGACACTCACTCTGGGGTGGAGTGAGTGTATCTGCAGGGGCAGCTATTGGGAAGCAACAACTCCTGGATGGCCCCATGCATCCCCTGTATCATAACATACAAGTTCCTTGAGCCACCTGGACAGTAATAATACATTCCCCAAACTTGTGTGTGATTTCTTATCCCTCATACTTCAAGGCAGTGAAGAATTGTGATGGTTCTTCTTCCACCCTGTGCCCAAAGCCTGAACAAAGCATTGAATGAACTGTTATTTGGCAGCAACCGCTGTAGCAGCAGCTTTCTGTAGGTTATCTTAATGGATTTATCACCTTGAACTAAGCCCTGACCATCTGTTCTATCCTAATTACAAATGCAGAAAAAGCTGATTCATGATAGCATCATAAAAAAGTGAAATATAAGTGATTTAAGAGTGGGGTATGTCATGCTTCACACTCCGATTGGGAGAAATCGCTCTCCCTTCAATAGACCGATTTCCCTGATAACAGAGTTTAGCTCTTTCCCAGCAAACGGGAACTCCTGAGGAGTAGGGCTCGCCAGAACAGGTTTTATTCCTGCTCACTCATATGTGTTTTAAAATTTGGGATTCACGTAAGTGCAGTTATGAACCTTCTTTCCTTCTGTCTTAGATGAGCCCCAAAAGATGTATTTTTAATGCCTTTTCTAATCAGGGAAAGCACAAACTCGTGCTCCTTAAAAATCCCCTAAAACTCTGCATTTCCTCCGTCTCATTTTTGCTGTGATGAAGGCAGAGTCGCCCACTCATTTTGTGCTCATAGCTCACCTTCACTGCAATGCTCTTGGTTTGGAAGATAGGCGGAAAACGGGGGGCTGAGTGCATGCCCTGCTTCTCATGAATGACCTTAAATTCTTTTGTACTGCCACTGTCCGAGCCACCAGCGGCTGTAATGGCTTAGCTGGGAGTTCAAGTTCTGATTCTCTTGTGTTGTGTGGGTAAGGACACAGGCAATGTCTGTCCTCTGTCCTCTGGAAATCTTATACA